TGAATTCACCTTTTTCAAGTGTACAATTCAGTGGTTTTTAGTATATTTACAAAGTTGTGCAACCATCACCACTATCTGATTCAAGAGCTTTGTCATCACCCCAAAAAGAAACCACATACCCATTAGAAATTCCCACTGCCTTCTCCCCACAGTCCCTAGCAACCATTAGTCTACCTTTTGCCTCTGTGGATTTGCTGATTCTGGATGTTTCATAGAAATGGAATTAGACAATATGTGGTCCTTTGTGTCTGGCTTCTTTTATCTACCATGTTTTCAGGGTTCATCCATGATGTAGCATGTATCAGTACTTCATTCATTTTTTTTTTTTTTTTTTAATTTTTACTGTGATTTGAGTGAAACCTTATGGAGCAAATTCATTTTCCATATAGCAGTTAATATATATTTTGTCTCATGACATTGACTGAAATGCCTCAGTGTAACATCTCTTTTCCAACTTCCTCCCTGTAGTTAACCTCTTCCCTGTGTCCTTCCCGCCCATGCACTCCCACCCCCTGAGTGGTCTCCCTGTGCATACACTGCCCTTCTGTTCTCCCATGATTGATCGCTCCAAGGAGTATATCTACCTGATGTAAATGTTCACCCCATATGCCTATTATTTGGCTGGAAGCCACAGGAATGAGTTCAATTCCAGACCTAAAGGGTAACTAGGGGCCATAGTCTCAAGGGTCTCACCAGGCTTTGTCAGACCAGCAAACCTGGTCTTTTTTTTTTTTTTTTTTTTTTTTTATGATTTTGAGTTTTGTTCCACATTGTTCTACCACTCTATCCAGGATCTCCTACATAGATCCCCCTCCGAGTGTCAGTGATTGCTGGACACCATCTAATTCTTCTGGTCTCATAGTCATATAGGCTGAGGATTGCATGGTGTATCAGTCACTTGGAATAATTGTTGCCATGAGTCTTTGGTTTCCTTCATTCTTCTTTGCTCTGGACGAGGAGAGACCCATCATTGCATCTAGATGGCTGCTTGCAAGCTTTTAAGATCCCAGTCACTACTTACTAAAGTAGGATGTGAAACAATGTTTTGTGCAGTATATTATGCCAGTTGATCTTGATATCCCCTGCAACCATGGTCCTGAGCCCATAGGTCCAACTACTCACTCCCTTTGGGTAGCTGGCTGTGGATTCTAATACCCCCAACCCACACCTCCACCCCAGGCCTAGAAAGGCTCACTTGAAAAGATTACAAGGGAAGCAGGGCCCTCAGGGGAGCCAGGATTCAGCTAGAGGAGGAAGGCAAATGGACGTTCCAAGAAGAAGTTGGAAGTTGAACATACAGGGGATTTTGCTGATGTCTGACCTTAGGTTTCAGTGGGCACAGTGGGAAGGTTTCAGGAGTAGAGAAGCGGTGAGTGGTGGGGTTGGAAAAGGGCCTTGCAGGTAGAGCCTCATGGGATAAGGAAGGAGATGTGAGGCCTGGCTTCCTGCAGTGGGTGTGTAAACACAGATAAAAGTTTCTGAGGAGAGCAGTTTGATGGTGGGAGTTGGGTGGGTCTTGCCAAGAGCATGCAGAGTTCTTGGGCTCCTGACTTCTGCCAGTGAGATGTATGTGTTTCATGTGTATCTCTACATCTGTAACTGAAAAGCTGTTTAGTAAATAATCACCCATGTTACATGTAATTCCAGTGCTTCACTTTACTTCTCTGTTCTGTTGTTTTTTTGTTAAAAAATATGCTGATCAAGGGCCACTAAATTAGTTTCATGATGCCCCAGTGGGTTGCAAACCATAGTTTAAAACACACTGAGAGAGACCTGCATCCTCACTGTGCTTTGAGCCTCTCTCAGGCTTGTTAACATTCAGAAGAGTAATAGCAGCGGCTTTTATTGACTGCTTGCTTTGTGTCCTTCTCTGCTCTGAGCATTTTACATGTAATCTCTCGTGAGTCTTTACTTGACCCTGGGAGGTAGAGGTACAGGATTAGCTGCCCCGTTTTAATGATGAAGAAGCTGGCCTGGGGGGATGAAGTAACTTGCCTGAGGAGCCACAGGGTTGGAATGAGACCCTATAGTGTGACTGTGGATTGTTCCCTAGAGCGATCCCTCTGGTTTTTGTCACTTTCTCTCTCTCACATTTCCCTGGGAGTTTAACATTTGTGATCCATTTTCATGAGATGCAGTATATGACAGTACATGTTGTTTGGAGAACTTTATTTTGGTATAATGTCAACCTACAGAAAAGATGCACGAGTGGGGTGACACACTCCCCATACTCTTTACCTGCTTGTTTGCATTTTGCCCCACTTGTTCTATTCTCTCTTTCTCTCTTCCCCTGTCCCCCTCTTTGAAATCATTTGAGAGTAAGTTGAGAAACACTGTGTTCCTTTACTTCAGGGTGTATATCCTGTGAACAAGGAAATTCTGTTACATGTTCCCAGTGTACTTACCACAATAGCACATTGACTGTCCATACTGTAATCTGTTCCACAGTCCAAATTCAAATTCCAGCAACTGTCCCATAGCTCAAGATCATGTGTTGCTCTCGGCTGTCACATCTCTGTGGTCTTGGCTAGTCTTTTACAGTTCCTCAGCCTTTCTTTGTCTTTTCTTGCCCTCCACAGGCTAGTTTTTTGCAGAATGGCCTTCAGTTTGGTACTGTCTTTCTTGATGATTGAGTTTTTGTTTCTTTGGCAGGAAAAACACAGAGATAATTTTGGGTCCCTCTCACAGGTACTCGTCCTTTATAAAAGAGATTCTGCAGGGGTTATTTTGATTACCAAAGCGGTTTGTGTTTTATAGACGGGTCACTGCCAGGTTCCTTTAGCACTCAGTCCCCAGGACCTGGGTGGCAGACGTGAGGTACAGGCTGCCGTTGCCCTCCATCCCATGGCAGATTTCTCTGATGCCCCTGCAGCCTGCCTGTGGCACCCAGGCCTCCTCCATAGAGTGGGCAGGTGGCTCCTGGCAATCATTCTGAGTTTTAGTGTGTGGGATAGGATCCATTTGTCATATCTGCTCTTGTGCATTTTAAAAACTCACTTAAAAAATTCGTCTTACACACAACTCATCCACAAACCCATCTTGCATAGAAAAAGATGGAATTTGGTATTTAGATATACTTCTGTCACTGGTCACTGTCTGTACACAGTTTTTTCTGTCATCGTCTTTGGATTTTAAATGACTAGGAGTGTAGAGACAGTGACTGCATGGCGAAGCCCCCAAGTGCTCAGTACCCAGAGCTACTTCAGAAGCAGCCCAGCCTGATTGTATCCAGTTTATGCTTTCAAGCCATGTTTAAAAACTAAAAACCAAACTCATTGCTGTTGATTCAGCTCTGACTCATAGTGAGCATCAGAGTGGAGCTGTGCTCCCCGGGGTGTTCATGGCTGTGACCTTTTGGAAGTAGATTGCCAAGCCTTTCTTCTGAGATGCCTCTGTGTGAATTTGAACTGCCAGCCTTTTGGGTCGGAGCCAAGTGCTTAACCATTTATACCACCCACGGACTCCACAGCCGTGTTTACAGGTCCCTTAATAATCTTAAACTGTTTCTCTCATCTTGTTTTTGAGGATCAAAACAACTTCTTTGAGGATGGTAATCTACAGCAGACCTGACATAACCTTTCTCTTTGCCTTTCAGCTGCATCTGCTGCTGTCGGGTTCTAAATAACCAGGCTGTGGGCTGTGTGTGTGACGGTGCGTCCAGCTTGCCGCCTGCAGGACGCTGAGGGATTGTATGTGGCAGCCTCCCTGAGACCATACAACCCTGTCCAAGCCTGCTGCGGCTCAGTGCAGGGTATTAAAGTGTTAAGAAGATCAGGGTTTCCCTTTTAAAAACATCAAAATACCAAAGACTAATCTCTGAGGGGTGGTAACTGCCTCATTGATGTTCACAAGAAATGGAAGTGTTTAGGAGGTAACCGCAGTGGGTTTGCTGTGAAATGGTTCTTACCCAAAGATGTGCAGTGATAATCGGGTACAGTAAGTAGTAGTGTAATTAAAGCAGAGACGAACATTGCAGAAGCACAGCTCATTAGAAAGCTCCTGAGAGTAAAGTTTGCTAGCATGAAATACTGCCATTCTTTTTACCACTGAGCTGTCCACAGGTGACTCTCTTTCTACTTCCTGAAATGTTATTTTTACAATGTAACGTTTCTCCTATCATTTTGAATTTAGTTTGGAGTAGATTGGCTGCTTCTGAGAATGCGTTCCTTTCCTGGGAATTCAAGTTGTTATCTTTCTGTATGTTTGATGTGAGGTAGTTGAAAGACGTGCAGGCCTTGTAGAATGTTCCGGATTGTATGCTCCTTGAATTGCTTAAGTGCAGAATGTTCAAAAGCAGGGAGCAGCAGCCTCTTCGTGATGGATATGTGCAGTATCTTTAATGAGAATCTTTGTGGGACAGTTGTCAGGGTTTGTGAGTGTGAAGTACCAATTAAGGATGTTTTAGACCAGGCACATAAAGAGAAGGACCCCTGATGAAAAGTGGATCTCATGAATGAAGGTTAGGGTTACCAGGCCTCTGTACACTGCCTTCGGCTTTAGCAGTTCTTTGAAAAAGGGAACACTTTCATGTCCTATGCCTTTAGCTGGCAGTGCTGTGTTCTGGCGTTTTGGATTTCTAGCCCTGTTAGAGCAGAATACGTTTTCCTGACAAAGATAAGGGTAATGAGGGCCGGATGCCCAAACCTTAAACCTACCCACCATGTCAGGGATGATAAAATAAATTATGCACATCTGTGACTTCTTACAAATATCAGGTTCCTGATGGGATCAGCTTGCCTCCAATGTTACAATAAACACTAGTCTAGCAGTGGGGCACTGCCAGGGGCCGGGAGACAGGGCAGCAACCTGGTGGTGCAGCCCTGTCATGCTCCACAGTGATGGCAGCAACATGTTCACACCCTCCAGCCGACTCTTCCCCAGCACGTAGATAAGTTACATGTCTGATGTCGATCATTTCTAACAGGTCACTTGTTCCTCAAGTCAGTTGCAACTGGTGATGGATGTTACTTGATAGAGCTTATTACTCTGTATTTTGGGAAATTGGAATGTAAAAAGGGTCCATATTCATCCTCTGAAATGAAATGAATGAAATAGGAAGATTGCACTTACTTTTACTTACAGTTTTCCATACATGTTTAATGACATAAACTGTAAAATATTCAGTTTTGTGTATTATATGTACATTTGATTTTTTATTAGCCTTTCCAAAGAAATGAGGGCATGATTATTGTACAGTACTGTGACTGATGTAATTCGATGTACAGAGCAGAGTGTATTCCTAAGGACAAAAATATTTAATGGCACTCGTTCTTGTGTTTTGACTTTTATTTCTGAGACACTCAAACACTTTACACAGTGCTAATAATTAAGTAGGTAATAATGATCCAACTTGTTTGCTAAATGATTATTTGTTTAAATCTGTACAGTTTCAAGTGTTTACTTATACAAAGAGTGTATATACTTTAAAAAAATTAATTTAAAATGCTTTATATTATTTGGCTAGTAATTGCTGTTTTTCATAAATGTGAATTTTTTAAAAAATAAAGATTTTTTTGCTTCCTAATTTGTCCTAGTTTTTCTGTTCTCTCTGTGGATCCTTTTTTGTAAAAAATTGAAAATTTTATTGAGAAATTGTGGCTCAACTTGCACTTACAAGAACTACAAGATCACATCTCCCCCAATGGTTACATTTTGCGTAATTGCAGCATAATATCTCAAGCGGTATATTGAGATGGATACAGTCACCATCTTACTCAGATTCCCCAGTTTTCCCCATATGCTGTGTGATTCTTTGGAACAAGATGATGTGAAAAGACTCGTTTTGAAGCATCTTGATGCTTAATTATTTAAGAGACAATTTAAATTTGTCTTTGTTTGCAAAACAGCCAATTCCCTGAGTATTGTCAGCACAAGTAATTGTATTGACATTTCGTATTGGAGCAATAGAAACAAATTTGTATTCCACCCTCATGGTTTAACAACCCCTACATCATTAAAGTCTCATCTGTTACTACCTTACAAGTAAGAAAACTTAGTATAGTTTTTTTAAAGGGACTGTTTGTTACAGGGACTTTCCCAAATGACTCTTCTCAGAAAAGGGTAACTTCACTGCTACCTGTCTCGAGCCCCTTCTGGTGTTGTGTGTGTTTGGTTTTTGCTCAATATCCAACCCCACAAAAAAGAAACACCACACTGAGCTCTTGGTTCAGTAGCAGCATTTAAACAGTCATCTCACAAATAACCAAAAAACCAAACTCACTGCTGTTGAGTCGGATCCGACTCATAGCGACCCCGCCTTGGGTTTCCGAGGCAATATCACTACAGAAATAGATTGCCCAACCTTCCTTCTGAGGAGTGACTGGTGGGTTTGAACCGACAGCTTTCTGGTTAGCATTCAAATGCCTTAGGCACTACGTCACCACGAAGTCCATATTTACGTTTCCGTAGTTGCCCCCCAGCAATGTCACACAGCTGCTGTTTATTCAGGTTCAAACCTATCACTTAGTTGTCACCTGTAGCCCTTTTTAATTCAGACCAGTCCTCATGTTTTTTGTTACCTTGTTTTTATGGTATCACCCTTTTCAAAAGAATCTAGGGCAGTTGCAGATATGTCAACCACAGTGTACATGTGCCTGGTTTCCTCATTATCCAGCAGACCCAACAACTGCAGCACACACATTCTTTCCAAGTGTATATGGATAGACATATAAAGAGAAAAAAAGTCACTGCCATCAAGTCAATTCTGACTCAGCGACCCCACTGGGGTTTCTGAGGCAATAAATCTTTACGGAAGTAGATTGTCCAGTCTTCCTTCCAGGGTAGACATATGCTGGACCGTAAAACAGACAAAGTAACCCAAAAATGATGTACAGATCAGGGGTGATCTTGTCCCCCAAATCCTGGGCTCAGACACTGGCAGCCCTGGGACATTTTTCAGTGTCGTGACTGGTGAGCCATCTAGTAGTAGAGGCTACGATGTGCTGCTGGACGTCTGACAGTATGCAGGGTGACGGCCCCTACAACAAAGAATGGTTCAGCCCAAAATACCGGTGCTGCAGAGGCTGAGAAACCTTACTATACACAATAATATACACAATAGAATTCCCCAGCACTCGGTATTCCCCCTAACCTGGTTTCATGATGCTTACCACTACAGGACTCATATTTTGCTTGCTAATTTTTTTTTAAGCTCATGGGGAGGAACTTTGATTTGTTTGCTGGTGTACACCTAGCTCCTAGAACAGAACTTAAAGTAGTTTGCAGTGCAGTGAATTGCTTATATGCCCTTCTAGCCATAGTCCTCCATTTTGTGATGTTTTGTAAATCCTAGCCTCTGGCAGTATCATAGTCACGGCATTTGGCTGCTAACCAATGGTTTAAACCCACCAGCCTCTCAATGGAGGAAAGATGAGGCAGTCTGCTTCCGTAAAGATTTACAGCCTTAGAAACCCAGTGGAGATCACTGTAAGGAGGAATTGAGTTGATGGCAGTGAGTTTGGTTTTTTGGTTTGATGCCTGTTGAGGGTGGGATGCATCTTGCCTTGCTAGAGGGTGTGACTCCAGTCACCACCCTTAATTTCCTTGAGGGTATGTATGTGTTGGCAAACTTTGCCCTCTCTTGCTGGGCACCCTGCATTTGGTTCATCAACATCTCCGGACTTGAGACAAAAGCCAGTCGTCTGACCTGGAAATTTGGGTTCAGCCCCTGCAACCACATGAGTGATGAGAATCCTCCAGAGCTATACCTGACCCACGGATTTGGGACTTGCAGCCTCCACCATCATGTGAGCCATTTCCTTGGCAGTGCGTGAGTTCTGTGAGACATTACAGCTAAATACGGAACCCTAAGACAGGAGGGAGAGTACTGAGGGGAGGAGGAGGAGTCGATGTCAGAGATGATGCAGTGGTACAGCAGTTTGGGGAAGTTGGACATCTGGGACATCTTTAATCTCTGCCTCATAGAGACTAGCCTTGTGCTGATCCTTCTAAAAGAAATTATTTGAGCAGTGCTCAATGAGTATTTGTTGAGTGAATGAAAGATCTCTACTGCCCAAGTCATGTAGCCTTCCCCTCACCATCTCATTATTAGCAAATCCTATCTATTCTGTCTCAGATGGCTCCTTCCTTCCTCCCCTCCAATGTACTGCCAATGCCATCGCTCTGGGTCAGGCCCTTATTATTTTTTTCTTGGAATATTAAAATCTTCACTATAAGATCCCAGTCTTATTAAGAACTCTGCCCCCATTCTGGATCCTACAATATGGAAATTTCAACTTTTGATGGCACCCAGGGCTGTCTCAATCCGGCCCCTACCCATCTGTCCAGCCTCATCTTCCACCAATTTTCTTCTGTGTCTCTTAGGGTTCTTGAGTGCAAGAAGCAGCAGACTGACTTGAGCAGGAAAGGACTTTGTTGGAAGGGTATGGGGAACTCATGGGACAGACCAGAGGCTAGAGAACCAGAGAGTTAAGAGCAGGTGCATTTTTCTTCAAAGCAGAAGGAGTTGGTCCAGTCTGTCACCATGCTGTGGCAGGCAGGGTCCTGGACTGGCATCACTGCATTGCTTTCTTCTTGGCCAAATTTGCTCCACATGGGGTGGGGCTGGAGGTGTCTGACTCTGCGGTTCCAGTGAGTGCTGGAGAAAGGAAGAGAGGGATCTTTCTCTGCGCCAGTTACCAATGTATTACTAAGCTCTTAGAATTTTTGGTTTAATCTACCTTTTTTTTTTTTTTTTTTTTGTAATCTACTCTTATTTTGTCCAGTTTTGTGATTCTGGAGCTGGACCCTGAAAGCATTTCTCCTTAGCCAGCTGGCAGAACATCAGACTTTGCTGATAGAGGGTGCCAGAGGCATCCTGCAAGGCACAGCGGAAAGGTGAAGGTCTCTCTCGGGTGTGCCTGTTTTTCCATCGACATTGTTGATGTCAGCAGAGTGCTGGAGCTCTGGTGGCACTCATTCTCCAGCAAGTTTTTCTAACATCCCAGCAGGTCACTTCTTCTGAATGAATGCACCACAGAACTTTTGCTACTACAATAGTCACTTACACCAACCAGCTCATTTAGGGCTCATTAACCTGCAGCAAAGTAATTGCTGTGTTTTATCTGATGCCACCAACAAGATGGGAGAGTCAAGAAATGAAAGTGAAGTGGTAACAGCCTGCCATGGCTAGTCCCATTGCTCCTGTGCCACCTCCAGCGCTCAGTTGTCAGGGTTCAGGGTGATGCTGAGACAATCAGTGAAGGTTGGTATCAGGCAGTATGCGATCAGCATGGGGGAAAACCAAACCAAACCAAATTTAACTGCCATCAAGTTGGTTCCGACTCATAGCAATCCCTCCTTGGGTTTCTGAGGTGGTATCACTACGGAAGTAGATTGCCCAATCTTCCTTCTGAGGAGTGGCTGGTGGATTTGAACCATCAGCCTTCTGGTTAGCAGTCAAATGCCTTAGGCACTATGCCACAGAGCTTCACTAAATGATACACAGTGTCTCTGGGCAAAGTGGGGAATGGCTGAACCAGAGGGAAAGGGTTTCCTTTTCTTTCTTGGCCTTGAGTCCTTGGTTAACACGCTTGGACTGAGGTTTGAGTCCACCCAACGTGCCACAGAAGAAAGACTTGGTGATCTACTTCAGAAAAACCAGCCACTGAAAACTCTGTGGAGCCCAGTTCTACCCTGGCATGCATGAAGTCACCATGAGTCAGAGTTGACTGTATGGTAACTGGTATTGGTTTTTATACTAGTCTTGGTTTAGCCTAGAGGTGAGGTCATCCTGGAAAGTTTGCAAGTGTCTCAAGGATGTATAAAAATCACACTATAAGGTCTGCCCAACTCCCAAGTCCTCCATTTCTAGAAATTCCTTCCTTTCCCCATGCTCAGTGGGAGCCATTCTTACGTGACAGAATCCCACCCTCCCTTACCTCACTGGATTGTACCAAGGGGAGTCTTCTGACTCAAACTGGGCCCATCAGACATGATTTGAAATTGAGAGAAAGAGACCAGGAGGCAATTTGCTCATTTGAGAGTGTCTTTTACTGACTATGTGAAGTGAGATGCATAGATGGAAAACATGGTCTTTAGAAAAAGATTAGTATTGTTGTTGTTGTTGTTTGCTGTCAAGTCGGCCCCGACTCATAGCAACCCCTCCTTGGGTTTCCAAGGCAGTATCACTACAGAAGTAGGATTGCCCAAACTTCCTTCCGAAAAGATTAGTGTAGCACAGGTGAAATATAGAAAGTTGTCCTGACTTCTGGAGGCCTTCCTGAGGTCTATGCCTTATTCTATGGCACTGATTACCATTTTCCATTTTGCTTTAGCTGCTTGAGTTGGTGACTTACCAGTGACCAAGAGTGTCTCATCTATTACACTGAGTCTAAGTGTGGGTCCTGTCAGCTCCCAGTGGGCTCCTGGTTTGGGGGACTTGGTGCAGGCTGGGCTGTTTTGCCCTGTGTTTTTCCCTCTGCCTTGGCAGGGGTGGGAAAGGTGGTGTTTGGATTGAGGTCAGGATTTATGAAAAACCCCTGGGGTGGCCCAGAAAGTATGGGGGGACTCTCTCAGCCTTAGCATGAGGCCCCTAAGGAGAGGTCCTCTGGAGGTGTTTCTCAGGAGGGGGCTGGACCCCAGGGGCTGGTACTTGATTTCTGCTGACTGAGCCATGTGGCCTTCAGCTCTCCCTGGGGTGAAGGGGCTGGCATGACAGTGGAATCAAGATGGCATTTGCAAAAGCCTTGAGCTCTTGAGATGCTCTAGTGTGGGAAGTCAAAGTCACCTAAAGGTACCTTGGAAGACAGGCCTGCCAAGCTACTTCTCTGTAAAAGCCTTGAAACCCCTATGGAGCAACTCTACTCTGTCACATAGGGTCTCCATGAGTCAGAATCAACTTGATGGGCAAGTGACAACAGGGTGGGAAGTCATGAGAAAATGATACACGTTGTCACAAGAGAGGTCATTTTGTAGTCAAGTAATTCCAGTCTTCATCACCATTTACCAGTGTGTGATCCTGGGTAAGTTATTAACCTGAGCCTCAGTGCCAGAGCTGACATAGGCAGAGAAAATATTATCTATGTCATAGAACCAAATGAGGTGGTCGCACAGGGCCTGCCTGCTTCACAGTAGCCATTATCATGAAGAGAAGGGGCCTGAAAAATCTCAGGGGGTGTACCTCTGTAAGTCAAGAGAAATGCAGACCCAGCCCTTACCTAAGAGATTTCACATTTGACAAACACTTTCCTGGAGATGCTCAGATATGAGGGGAACAGCCAAGCTTGCAATAAGTGGAGCTAACACTTCCTGAGTGGTTGTCTATGGGCCCCGGGCTGGTCTAGGTATTCTACATGCATTCACTAATGTCATACTCATAAACTCTATGGCCGTAGGTACTATTTCTAGGTCCATTTTACAGATGAAGAAACTAAAGCATAAAGCTATTTGCCCAAAGCCAAATTAGCAAAGCTACACTTTGACCAGTCTTTCTGCATCTCGAGTGAAGACGAGAAGTATTAAAAAACAAACAAACAAACAAACAAATTTACTGCCATCGAGTCGATTCTGACTCCTAGTGACCCCCATTGGGTTTCTGGGGCAGTAAATCTTTACAGAAGTAGATTGCCCCATCTTCCTTCTGCAGAGCAGTTTGTGGGTTTGAACTGCTAACCAGAAGGTTAGCAAGTCAAATGCCTTAGGCACTATGCCATCAGAGCTCCCCCAAGAAGTATTGTTGTTGTTGTTGTTGTTATGTGCTGTTGAGTCGGACCTGACTCATAGCGACCCCTCCTTGGGTTTCTGAGGCAGTATCACTACAGAAGTAGATTGCCCCATCTTCCTTCTGAGGAGTGGTTGGTGGGTTTGAACTGCCAGCCTTCTGGTTAGCAGTCAAGTACCTTGTTGTTGTTGTTGTTATGTGCCGTCGAGTCAAACCCGACTCATAGCGACCCCTCCTTGGGTTTACGAGGCAGTATCACTACGGAAGTAGGATTGCCCAACCTTCCTTCCGAGGAGTGGCTGGTGGGTTTGAACCGCCAGCCGTCTGGTTAGCAGGCAAGTGTCTTAGCCACTATGCTACCAGAGCTCCTCCAAGAAGTATTAGGAGGCTGCAAAAGAACTTTTGCATAACAAACTCCCAGGAAAGCCAGATGGAACAGGGATTGACCTATATTACCTACTGAAATAATAACTTGCTTCCAAGGCTATTAGGTCAGGGCTGAAGATGAGTTATTGTCCGTACCTGGTCATAGATTTTGTAAGCACCCTGAAAGTTTTCTTTTCTTTATTTTTCAAACCAAGGAGCTGGACCATGTCCTAAACAAACCAACCCTCAAAAGACATTAATAAGCCTGGAGGTTTTCCTTGGGGCTCCTGCGGACTCCTCCTTTTGAAGACATTCGGAAGATGCTGGGGGAGCCCTGGGACAGGTTGGTGACTGCCTTAATAGTAGAATTGAGATTTGTTCTTTAGAAAAATGTTCACTAAAGTCTTGGCATTCTTCTTGAAGGTTTCCAAATCGGAGATGGTCAGCAAATTCAGGAGCTTACTCATTTTTCCCAGAAGGATCTGGATTTTCTGAGCCGTTGAACTGAATTCCACTTCCTGGATTCTTTTCTTCTTCATTTCATTCAGCACCTCTGGAGTTACAAACTGAGGAAATTCACAAAAGACAGGGTGAGGATAAACACTGTCCCAGTATCTCGCTGTCCCTCATCCACCCCCAGGATCAAGTCCTCTGTGGCCATGACTCAGTATTCCTCAGAGCCTTCATCTTTGGGGCAAATCAGTGCTCCCAGTCTTGCTGCTGGTGGCCTTTCTGCTGGTTTCTCAAAGCACTTCCTTAGGTTATGCCTGTGGCCACATGGGCCATGTTCATGTAGGCTGATGCCATCCCTCAGCCTGACCTCAAAACAGAAGTGTACTCATATACATGTACAGCAGTGGTCATTGTGGCTTTATTCACAGTAGTCAAAAAGTGGACACAGCCCATGTGTCTGTCAACAGGTGAATGGGTAAATAAAATATGGTGCATACATACAATGGCATATTAGTCATAAAGAGAAATGACATTCTGATTCATGTTAAGACATGGATGAACTTTAGAAATATGCTGAGTGACATAAGTCAGACATAAAATGACAAATTTTCTATGTACCCACATATGTGAAATACCTAGAACAGGTAAATGCAAAGAGACCAATGTTTATTAGGGTTACCAGGGGCTGGGATAGAGAAAAATGGGAGTTATTTCTGAATGGCCATGAGTTTCTGTTCGGGGTGATGAAACGTTTTTGGAAATGGATAGTGGTGATAGTTGTACAACAACATGGTGAATGTAATTAATGTCACTGAGTTGTGTACATAAAATGGTTAAAATGGCAAATTTTTTGTTATATATTATTTTATGACAATAATGAAACAAAAAATGTACAAGGGTAACCAGCTCTTGTGCTCTGGCGTGCCTGCCTTGGAAGGGCTGGGCTCTTGTGGGAGTCTGGGTCTGGTCTGCAGCTTTCCTAACTTGGGTAATGTGGAGGTGCTGTCAGAGCCTTGAGCCTGTCACAATGCCTGGCAACACATTCTCCCTGCAAACCCTATGGAGCACAGGTCTACTCTACACACATAGGGTCCTCGTGAGTCAGTCAATTCCAAGGCAACTGGTTTGTTGTTGAGAGGGATTGGTGAGACACAGAACCTGGCTTAGGGGCTTGGGATGTGGACCAAACCGAGCCAGCCAGAGCCTGAGTGGCAGAGGGCCAGGGGCGCTGATGCCTTACCTTGAACCTGGTGCCCAGGTTTATATGAATCCGATTCTTCTGGTTGATGAAGTAGAAGAAGATCTTATCCTGGCTTCTTATGTGTACCTTGATATACTTGTTGATTTTCAAGGAGATGGGCTGGACAGGGGGAGCGTGGACGTGGAGATTCAGATTCCACCAGTTCCAGGCCTTTTGGTTGCTGCCTCCCATGAAGTAGTAGCCGAGACTGCGGCTCAGGCTCAACCTAGACCAAGAAGCCAGCCAGGCAATCAGTGCACAGCTCTGGAGGTGGGGAGGGAAGGGCCCCTCTGTGGCAACGCGGAGCCCCAGTCCCTCCTTCTCCCCCTCCTTCCTTCTCTTTTCCTCTCCTCCTTAGCCCACAAAAAATGTCCACAGGCTCTCAGCAGGCAGGAGGTGTTACCAGCAAGGCAAGCTGGAGACTTGGCTTTGGCATTCAGCCCTGCCCTCTGGAGCCTGCTCAGCCCCCATTGTGGCCTCCCCTCCTCACTTTCACTCTCTCTGTTCAGTTCCTGGGTCTCTCCTGTTCATTAATCCCTTGGGGAATGTGCCATGCTGTTCTTTCTATCTGGAAGGGCCTTCCCATCCTTCTTGGCATGGCTGTCTCTTGCTTATCCTGAAGGTCTCAACTTGATGTCACCTCTTCAAAGAGGCCCTTCCTGACCAGTCCATCTAGCTCCCTATTATACATTGAATTGTGTCACCCAAAATACTTGTTGAGTTGCTAACGTCTTTACCTGTAGATGTGATCCCATTTGGAAATAGGGTTTTCTTTATTATATTAGATCATACCCAAGAAGGGTAGGTTCTAAATGTAATCATTTTGGAGTTATAAAAATGAGTGGAATGGACACAGCAATACATAACATGTACACACACACACACACACACACACAGGAGGAAGGCAGACACTGCGTGAAGATTGTCTACAAGCCAAGGAATCAAGGAACACCCAGAGGTACTGACAAGGAAGGAATCAACGTGGCCAAGACTCTGGTTTGGACTTTTAACCTGTAGAACTGAGAGATGATAGATTTCTGTTTTTTTTTTTTAAAGCCATCCACTTGTGATTTTTGTGTTACAGGAAGTCTAGGAAACTAAGACAATCCTATATGATTGTCCATCCTCATCTTTGTTAGTTTCCTTCATATCATTTATTACAATATATAATCAATCCTCAGTTCTTGTGGATGCCATGTTTGTGAATTTGCCTACTAGCTAAAATCTATTTGTAACCCTCAAATCAATACCCTGGGCATGTTCACAGTCATTTGTAGACATGAACATAGCAGTGGAAAATTTGAGTTGCCCGATGTACAAGGTTGGTTCAGTAGTTGCTAATTTAGTGCTCACAGGTATGTGGTGATTCTCATTACTCATAGTGACTATTACAGAACATAAATGCACTGCCGTTGAGTTGGATCTGACTCATAGCGACCCCTCCTTGGGTTTCTGAGGCGGTATCTCTATGGAAGTAGATTGCCCAACCGTCCTTCCGAGGAGTGGCTGGTGGGTTTGAACCATCAGCCTTATGGTTAGCAGTCAAATGCCTTAGGCACTATGCCACCAGAGCTCCCATTATAGAACACAGTTACTGTGAATAATGAGAATCACTACATATCGTCTGTTCTCCCCCACTAAAATAGAAGCTCCACAAGGGCAAGAACCATGTCTATCTTGCTCCCTGCTGAATTTCTGCTGCAGGCCCCCTGCTGGTCCCAAAGTGAAAATTTGTAACTCCCTTCACTATTGGGCCCTAGCCTGTCCAACCTTGTTCCTCTTCACTAAACAAGAACCTGCATGCAGAGTGATGCTTTGGAAACGTGGGCTCTGGAGCCAGACTCTAGGTTCAAAGCTTGGCTCTCCCATTTGCAAGCTGTATGGCTTTGGGCCAGTTACTTAACCTCTATAAGCCTTAGTTTTTTCAGCTACTAAATGGAGATAATTATGGTATCTTATTCAAAGGGTTTTTTTGGAAGGACTGGGTGCCTATCTATAGCAATAACTCAGCAAATATTAGAATTTCCTTGTTACCATTGATGGAGAGGAGGTCAGAGAGGAGACTCTTTCTACATCTCTCCCCAGCCAGCTCCAACTCCTTAAATCCTCCCATCAGAGTTCTTGCACTAGGCCCTTCCCCACTCCCCACTTGCTGGGGTTAGAGGTCTGTCCCTGCTGGAATGCCTGCCATGGGGTAAGGTGCCCTCGGGGAAATGGGGATCTAGAACACCTAGAAGTGGTCTGAATCTGGCGGATCCTCTTCAGGGTGTGTGTTATGTGTTGATCTATATCCTCCAAACAAATATTTGAGAGTCCAACCCCTGGTACCTGTGAATGTGACCTTATTTGGGAATAGTGTCTTTGCAGATGTAATTAGTTAACATAACATCACATTGAAGTAGGATGGGTCCTAATTCCTTCTGAGTGATGGTTTCATAAAAGAGGTAGTGACATACAGAAGGAAAACAACTGTATGAAGATGCAGTTAGGCTTCAGCTGGAAGCCAAGGAACACCAGAAGCTACCAGAAGGTGGGAGAGGTAAGGAAGGATCTTCCTCTAGAGTCTTGGGAGACAGCACGGCCCTGCTGACACCCTGGATTCAGACTTCTAGCCTCCAGAACTGTGAGTCAATAAAGCGCTCTTGTTTCGAGCCACCCAATTTATGGCAGCCTTAGGAGACAAATAAGAATAACCAAAAACACCATTGGCTGTAGTGTAGATTCTGACTCATAATGACCCCAAGTGAGTCAGAGGAGAACAGTGCTCCATAGGTTTTCCACAGCTGGTTTTTCGGAAGTAGATTACCCTGCCTTTCTTCTGAGGTACCTTTGATTGGACTTGAATCTCCAACCAATCATTTAGCCATTGAGTGTGCTGACTGTTTGCAACACTCAGGGAGTCCAGGAGTCTAATACCTGGACTGTGACCCTGAACTGTGAAGTGGGTAGGACCAACCCAGCAGGTACAGGCAGGTCTGAGGCTCCTCATTGTGTGGGCCCCTAAATCTGGTGGGAAGCCTGGTCTGAGACTCCTCTAGCCCCAGGGCTGTGGGTGGGGATGGTGCTGTGGCATAGTTTCCACACACCCAGGAAACTATAACCACAGATGAAGCCTTCTACTTTGCCTCAGGAAATGGAAAACAAACAAAACAAAAAACAAACCCAAAAATACCAGATCCAGAAATGTTCAGTCCTGAAACAGTTTGGCTATGAGTACTTCCTGGTGGCCAGGCACCACAGAAGAGCTCTTGGTTAGTGTGTGGGTGCAAAGATGGGGGCCAGCACTGGAGGAGTAACTCTAGAAATTTGTAGGTGTAATCAGGATTGGGCATTCAGGGCCAAACAGCTTTGCATTCCCAAATGGCTCTGAAAGGTCTTTTCCCACTATATCTTTCTCCTGATGAAAGGGGTTGCAGTTCTAGTGCCAAGGTCCCTTAGGGACCAAGTCTTTCTGTCATGGATCACATTTTCCTGGTATGAGGGGTCGTCACTCTGGTGCAGCGGCCCTTGTGAAAGCACCAGCATGGGGCTGGAGGAGCCATTCAGGGCAGAGGGTCTGGCCCCGAGGTATGAATTTTGGGGCGTAGTGGGTGTGGTGGGGTTGCTCTCTCATCTAGGTCTCTGATGTCTAAAATGCCATCACTGGTGCTGCTTTCCTTTGGTTTCAGCCAAACTGGGGCAAGACCCAGATAAGATGCAATTGCCTTGGGGGCAGCAGTAAGGTATGTGGGGAGTGGCAGGCTGCTGACCCAGGAGGGCTCAGGCAGCAAGGCCTGTGAGCAGAGGCCCAGGACCTGCTGAGGAAGACTGCCCTGACTCAGATCACTTTGACAATTTGTATAACACCAAGAAAGGAAGAGGAGCTCTAGTGGCCTGGTGGTTAACGTGCTTGGCTGCTAACTGAAGGGTCAGCAGTTCGAATCCACAAGCTGCCCTGTGGGAGAAATATGTAGCAGTCTGCTTCCATAGAGATTAGGTAGCCTTGGAAACCCTGTGGGGCAGTTCTGCTCTGTCCTATGTTGTTGTTGTGTGCCGTCAAGTCGGACCTGACTCATAGCGACCCCCTCTTTGGGTTTCTGAGGCGGTATCACTACGGAAGTAGATTGCCCAACCTTCCTTCTGAGGAGTGGCTGGCGGGTTTGAACCACCAGCCTTCTGGTTAGCAGCCAAGTGCCTTAGGCACTACGCTATCAGAGCTCCTGGTCTGTCCTATAGATTCAGTTAAAGTGGATGGTAACAGGAAGGAAGGGCATCCCTGGGTGGTGCAAACAGTTGGTTAACATGCTTGGCTGCTAACCATAAAGGTTAGTGGTTTGAATCCACCCAGAGCTGCCTTGGAGAAAAGGCCTGGAAATCCACTTCCAAAATATTAGTCATTGAACACTCTATAGAGTACAGTTTGACACTGATACCTGTGAAGTCATCTCAACAACAGCTGGTAACTGTTAAGAAAGGAGGGCAAGGTACAAGAGTGCCATGCCCACTGTCAGTCCTTTCTTGACACGGGAACGGGAGGGAGTAGGGAAGCAGAGGTTGCCGGCTGGTGGGCAGAGGGGACAGGCAGGACGTGGGCACTTGGAGGTCTGTGCATGTCCTAGGTGTGGCCCATGGCAGGGAGGCTGCGGAGCCCGTTTGTCGAAATTTGTGAACTTCGCCCCCCTCGCCCCAGCTCAAACCAAACTACAACCAGTTCTGACTCATGTTGTTGTTCTGTTGTTATGTGCCATTGATTCGGAGCCAACGCATAGCGACCCCTCCTTGGATTTCCAAGGCGATATCGCTACAGAAGTAGATTGCCCAACCTTTCTTCTCAGGAGTGGCTGGTGGGTTTGAACCACCAGCCTTCTGGTTAGCAGTCAAGTACCTTAGGCACTATGCTACCAGAGCTCCTGTTCTGACTCATAGCAACCCTATGTAATGGATTAGAATTGCCCCATAGGGTTTCCAAGGCTGTAAATCTTTATGGAAGCAGACTGCCTCAGTTTTCTCCCATGGACCTCTTGGTTAGCAGCATAATGTTTCAACCAGTATGCCACCAGACCTCCTTCCAGTTCAATTATCTTTAGGTACCGGGAAGCCTCCCAATTCCAACCGCCAACTGCAGAAGAACTCAGAAGAGGAAGCAGCCAGTATATTGCCCAACTCCATGAGTCGTGAAGGGCTTAACAGGTTTTTGGAAATGCTTTCAAGGGCAAAGAGGCAGCAAGTCCCAATGACAGAGATGGGAGGTGGGAAATGGCGAGATTCCATATCCTGAACCTATGCAAAGCTGTTCAGCTGAGGAGAAGCCTAAAATACTTGCGAGGCTTCCGCCCCGCACCCCTGTGCATGAAAACCTTGGGCCTATTTCCTCATAAAATAAAGCGTTTTCCAGAGTTCCAGCGAGGATCTGAGGTGTCAGCACAAACAGCTATCCACTCCTTGCCTGAGGGGAGGATGAGGGCTCCTCCATGAAAATTTTAAGGAGTGGACAGAGTGATTTCTCTGAGTCTTTTGTCTGTATCAGCCTTGAGTGAAACAGCTCTGGGAGACAGGGGCGGGTGGGTAGTTGCTGTCAGCTTTTGGGCAACTGCCACTTGCCACGGCCTTAAAGGCTCCTGCCAGGGCAACTACACCTGGCTGACCTGTAGAGTCACTTGGACACTTTGGAGAAATGAAGATTCCTGGGCCCATTCCCAGACTCACTGAAGGGGAGTCAGCCCTCTCCTGAGCCCTGAGCACTGTCCTCCAGTACTAATGGACTGAGATTCAGGAATAAGATGAAGGGGTCTCTTATGTACCATATTTTAAAAATTTTTAAAAATTATTATTTTAAGGTAGAGTCAAAATACTACAAAGGTGAGCCTTTTTGTCAAAATACCACAAAGTGACTCCTCATTGGATCTCTGTTTCCTGATCAATAAAATGAGACTGGTTCCTATTCCCTTGGAGTAGATTTCTCAAAGGTTTCTCTGGCCCTGAAATTCAACATCATTAGGGAGAAGAGGTCCCACTGTACGTAGCTAGATAATATTTGCAAAAATTAACTGAGTTTCTTGCCCTTATTTCAATTGTACTTTTTGTACCCAGGGAGCTCTGGTAGCATAGTGGCTAAAGCATTTGACTGCTAACCAGAAGCCTGGTGGTTCAAACCCACCAGCCACTCCTCGGAAGGAAGGTTGGGCAATCTACTTCCATAGTGATACTCACTCGGAAACCCAAGGAGGGGTCGCTATGTCTCGCAGCCGACTAGACGGCACATAACAACACAACATTTTGTACCCAGTATCCTTCCTCCACCACTCACATGGAATTTTCTCATTGGTAGGGTGGGGCCTTCACCCCACCCTACCAATGAGAAAGAACAATGTCAACTGGAAACTGGAGTTTTAAAAAACTCATAGTAGAGAAAACAGCTTAAAATTCAAGGTTTGGACTCGGAGGGAGTTTTGTTTTTGGAATTAAAAAAGAGATGTTTGTCTCTGATTATCAAGAAGAAAGTATAAAGTCGAACCAACATAATATGCATTTTCCACTCCATGAGCACTTAGAAAGGAAAAACTGAACCAAACCAGTTGACCTTGAGTTGATTCCCACTCCTGGAGACCCCTGATTTGCAGAGTAGAACTGAGCTCCAGAGGGGGTTCCAGGCTGTGACATTTCGGGAGCAGGTCACCAGGCCTCTCTTCTGAGGTGCCTCTGCATGGACTTATATCTCCAGCTTTTCAGTTAGCTGCCAAAGGGAGGGGGGATATCCTGAAATGACAGAGAACTTACCCAAAAGAGATGGAGAAAAATCTTGAAGTCACTGAGATATGTTGAATTGGTAAGCTGAATTCTTCTACCATCACCAGAAAATGGGAACTTAAGAACTAAGTTCATTTAGAAGTTACATTTTTAACTCCTGTATTGGTGACCATGAGATCTGTACACAATCCAGGTGTCTCCAAAGATCTTGCTAAGCTCTCTTCCCTGAGGTCCCCAGAATTGGAAGGAATGGGTTCTTTGTAAGGCAATTCTCACCAGAGGGGTTTGAATGAAGCCAAAAGAATGGAGTTGTTGTGAACCTATGATTCCTATTTATTTGTGAGGAAGCAATGATGCACAAGGCCAGTGGCTTCTTTAAGGGCAGGACTCTATCTTACCAGTAGTCTATTATAACTTTGTCCTCATTTCTAGCATGTGTTAGTTGGATGAATAAACTCATAGGTGAGAGAGAGAGACTGACTTAACTAGTGAGGGAGGAAGGCAGAGTAGACTGGGACTGAAACTTCAACCATTCTGCTCCTCCACCTGCAGGAAGTGTTTGGGACACATGGCCCAAGCTTAGAAGTCCCTTGTTGTTGTTACATGCCATTGAGTCGAACCTGACTCATAGCAACCCCTCCTTGGGTTTCCGAGGCAGTATCACTACGGAAGCAGATTGCCCAACCTTCCTTCTGAGGAGTGGCTGGTGGGTTTGAACTGCCAGCCTTCTGGTTAGCAGTCAAGTGCCTTAGGCATGAAGTCCCTGGGGGGTGCAAATGATGTATGCGGTTGGCTGCTGACAAAAAGATGGGTGGTTGGAGCCCACCCAGAAGCACTTTGGAAGAAAGACTTGGCAATCTACTTCAGACATTCAAAATACCATGGAACAAGCACAGTTCTCTGACACATGAGTTAGAATCAACTTGATAACAGCTGTTTGCTTGTTGGTGGTCCAAGCTTACCAGATATCTCTGTTTTCATCATAGAAGGTGGCATGGCCAGCGTTGTTGATAAGGGCCCGTATCCACATTTCTTTACTGTCTTCCAGGATGATGTATGTGAAGTTTTTAGTATACATACTGAGGATGAGCATAGCTAGGTTTCCTGATGGATAACTGAGAGATGGTTAAGGCACAAGTGGTATATTGGGATCCCATGGAAAAAGCAGACCCTGGCAGAGGGCACCAGCCCTCAGCAAGCACACTAGGCCCAGCCCAAATCACAGCATCCCTCTGCTCCAGTGGATACTGTATCTGGCCTGTTCCATCAGGAAAGAGAACTTGGAAGACAGTCCTACTGGGGTAGAGAGTTACTTTTCCATCACCTTGATGCACCTGGAAAGAGAAGACAAGCCAATGAAAAGTGCAAGCGTGCTGGTTGTTCCAGTTCAGAATGTGACATTTTTGCTCTCTGAGTGCCCATAGGCTGCCCTGCCCATCACCATGAAGAACTTGCTGGGAGCTCTACACAGGAAGCTTCTCAGGGACTCAGTGTTCTTGTCTACATAGTGAGGAGGTGGAACTGGACCAATGTGTGAGTGTGTGTGTTTGTGTGTGTCGATTTCAAACTAGTATTTCAATCTCTCTAATGGTTACTATTATAGTCAGGTTTCTTTTATTTCTTCTTGGGCTAGTTTTTGTGAATTGCATTTTTTTCCCTTAGGAAATCATTCATTTTATGTAAAATTTCAAATTTGTATGAATTCATATAATTTTAAGAAATATATTTTTAAAGTACCTATAATTATGTCCCTGTGTTCATTCTTTATAATACTTATACCTCTCTCTCACTTAAAAAATTTTTTTTTCCTTACCAATTACGATAGTTAAGGTTGTGTGTCAACTTGGCTGGACCATGGTTGTAAGTGGTTTAGCAGTTATTATGTAGTCATCCTCCATGATAAGATCTGATATAATGTAATCACCTGCATGATGACATCTGCTATGAGCAGCCAATCAGTTGGAAGGGAGTTTCCTTTGGGGGTTGGCCTGCTTCCAATACACATGGAAAAGCTGTGGCTAAGCTCTCTGGGTGTCTGGCTTGTCATCTGATCTCAGGTTCTTGGATTTGAGCCAGTGGCCTGCTGTATTGCCTGCCAATCTTGGGATTGTTGCCTTTGCAGCCTGTTAGCCAATAGCCTGCCACCTTACCTGCTGGTCTCAGATTCACTAGCCTTTGTGGCCAGCAGCCTGCAGTAATGGCTGCTGATCTTGGGGCTGTCAGCCCCTGCTCTTCAGTGAAGCAGAAGAAGCCTCCAGCCTGACATCTGACCCATGGGCTTGGGACTTGCCAACTTCTACAACCACATGAGCTATTTCTTTGAGGTATATTTTTCTCTCCCCCTCTCTCTATATACAACACCAATCTTGCCAAAATATTTGCCTGTTCATTGTTTTCAAAGACCCAGCCTCTGGTTTGTTGATCCCACTATTTCCTTGTTTTCTACTGTATCAGTGTCTGCTTTTGTCATTATCATTCATTTCCTACTTTCTGCGGGGTTTCTATACTATTTCTCTGTTATCTTTCTAATCCCTTGGTTGGAATGCTGAGCTCCTATTGTTCTTTCTTTCTCTTCATATTTGTGGTAGTGGCTGCTGACACTGCAGCTTCTGCTTTTTCTTCTCCTCTTCCTTCTTGAATGTAAGTATTCAAACTATACATTTCCCTTCGATATACTGTTAGCGGTTTCCCATGAGTTTGGATCATTATATTTCATCTCCACTTTCTTTTAACTATGTCCAAATTTCCTATATGATTTCTTCTTTGACATCCTAGTTATTTAGAAATGTGCTTTTCAATTTGCAGAATGTATGAAGTGCTTTTGATTATCTGATTATAAATTATCTGATTACAAATTAAATTGCATTAGGAGAAGAGAACATAGTCGGCATGAGGTCAACTTTTTAATGCTTGCTGAAATTTGTTTTGTGGCCAAGTGTGGGGTCAATTATTGTAAATACTTCATATATATTTGAAAAGGATGAATATGCTACAATGGCTTCCAGTCCTCATAGTAGTGTTAAAACTCAAGTCTCAAACTAGGGAGTTGTTGCTCAATGCATATTGAGTTCCTCTTTGGGGTGCTGACAGTGTTAGAAATAGATCATGGTTATGGTTGCAAAAAACAAAACAAACCCAAACCTGTAGCTTGTCAAGACACATTAGTCTTCTTTTGGCTACCCCTGCCTTCCCAGCACACACACCCACCAGGACCCACGGCATCAGCCCACCCTCCCCTTGCTCTGGTTTTGAGTTTTCTCTTTATTTCTGGAATTGGTTCTATTCTTTACTTTCTTCCATACTCTGCTCTGCATTTAAAAGGATGCTTCTTAAATGTTATCCAAGAGTCCAGTTTCCCAGGTATTTGTAACAGGAAGGCTTTTTCAGGATATATCATATCCCATGTGATTTCATCCAGAAGTCAGATCAGTGATTTTCAAACTATTATATTTAACAACTGAACAATGCTTTGTTCAAGGAAAGCTTACGGCAGAATGCCAACATCCAAACAGATCAAGGAAAGAGAAGCTGCTTCTTGTGGGGGTTCCTAGGGTACTGCCTTTAAATGCCCAAGATCCTGGGCATCAGAATGAAAATTATCACACTAGGTGATGATATTGTCCTAGGTGACATGTAGCCATTTCTTTTCCTACACCCAGCACTATAATGAGCACTTTGATTCTCACAACACAATGAACCTTTAAAGTAGGTACTATTCTTATCCCCATTTGTCATTGTTGTTACTTGCCATGAGTTGCCTCCAACTCATGGAGACCTTATGAAAATGGGACGACGCATTGCCAAGTCCTGAGCCATCTTCATGAGTGTTGGCATGCTGAGTCCATTGTTTCCATTATTGTGTCAATCCTTGTCATTGAGGGTTTCGCTGACCCTCTACTTTACCAAACATAATGTACATTTCTAGGGACTGATCTTTCCTGATGGTGTGTCCATAGTGAGCAAGCTGAAGCCTCATCATCTCACTTCTAAGGAGCATTCTCATTGTATTTCTTCTAAGACTGATTAGTTCATTCTTCTGGCAGCCCACGATACAGGGACTGATTACCCAATAAGCAAAGTAAGCATGGATTTACTTGTGTTTACTTTCCAATCTTCAGTGAACAGTTTCACACAGTTTTTGTCACATCACTCCATAAATTTGAAAAGAGGCTTTGATTCTGGAGAAAGGTGCTCTGTGGAGAGAAACAGATACCAGCCAGAATCTTTCATGTGGTGAAAAAATGTGAAATTGTTCACTACAGATTAGTAAGTAAACACAAGTGAGCCCAAGTTACCTTAATATAATCTGATACTGCCACAGTGTATTCAATATTCTTCATCAATACTACAGTTGGAACGAGTCACTTCTCCTGTCTTCCTTTTTCATTATCCATCTTTTGTATCGTATGAGGCAACCAAAAAGACCGTGGCTTAGGTAAGGTGCATTTTAGTCCTTGAAGTGATCTTTGCATTTGAGAAATTTGAAAAAATCTTTTGCAGCAAATTTGCCCAATGTAATATGACATTTAATTTCTTGACTTTTGCTTCCAAGGACATTGATCGTTGATCCAAGCAGAATGAAATTCTTGACACTTTGAGAGGAAAAATCTTATCCCCACTTAAGAGAGGCTAAATCATTTACACAAAGTTGTCCAGTGAGAGGCAGAGTGTGGTCCAGGCAATCTGACCTCTGAGCCTGTGGTCTTAACTGTGGATCACACTGCCTCCAATCACCAAGCTTCTGTCTTCCTCTTACCTTTAGTCTATAATCACTGCTGTTAGTTATCTATAAAAGTGCTTTTTCATGATATACATGGGGAGGTTCTTCTCAATGACCTTGTAGGTATTCCTCAGGGAGAGAGATTGTATTGTAGGTATTTTTTTTTTCCCCAAAAGCCAGGATTTTTGAAATACTTTCTACTTGTCAAATTCACTTGTCATGCAATGACATTTTCCTAATGATATGAACCCCGTGGGCAAAGCACAATCTCTACCCTAGTGGTAAAACTGGCACATTTTTTCTCACTGGGAAACATACATGAATGATATGTCTAAAAGCATAAAAGGCATCACCATGTGTTTTGGGAAGAGTATGAGGCTAAGAGCTGAAAGCTAAAAGAAAAGAGGCTAATCTCTGGCCTTTCAGTTCTTCCAGAGGGAAAAAAAAATTCTCTAGGAAGCCAGAAGGAGTCCCTGTGGGGCAAACGGTTAAGCACTTGAAGTTTGTCAATTTGAACCCATCCAGAGGTGTCTTGGAAGAAATGCCTGGTAATTCACTTCTGAAAGGTCACAGTTCTGAAGACCCTATGGAACACTATTTTACTCTGCACACATATGAGGTCACCATGGGTTGAAATCGATTCAGTGACAACTGGTTACTGGTTTAGGCAGCCAGAGAAAGCTGCCATCTCTGATCTCTCCCTGACTGCTGGGTAGCTGCTTGGTCCAGGGCTGGATGGACTCTGCCTGAGCACCAGCACATATTTATAAACAGGGTTACTTCACTCAACAAACTACTTGGAATTTATTGTTGGTTTGTTAAAAATAATCTCCACATGTCCCATTCTTTGCCATACTTCTCAGGCCCCTTATGCACCCTAGCATGACTGGTGGGTTAGGAAATCCCTCTGCTTCAAGATGTTGGTGAGGGCCTTCCTCTAGGCTCCAGGGAAGTCACCGCAGACTGGCTAGGGGAAGATGCTATTGCAGCAGCAAAGACTTCAAGGGAGGACCAGGCAGGGTGTATGGGAAGGACATGGAGTTGGCTAGCCTAATTGGAGCAAGAAATCAAGTAAGGTTTCTTTAATTTGTTGGAGGTGAGAAAGCTGATGGCTTTATATGAGCTCTTACAACACCCATTGTCTGTTACAACTGCAGAGCCTCTCTTTCAATTCCTTTTCCCATAGGAGTTTTGACTGGTTCCACTGACTTCCCTTTTACATGCAGATCTGAGAGATGAAAACATGCTGAAATTCTCTAGAAGTTCGAAAGGTCCTTACTTTGTTAACAGTGCATTTTTCTTATTCTTTAGCACTTTTGCCACTAGTGAGACCATCCTCATCACTTTATGATGACTGATTGCTTCTCATCTTAGTCCATACAGTTTTCATTTTCCTCTAGTCATACAGGATTGGGATACTCTCCAGCCTCCTTGCATCAAGGTGAGACCATGTGACTCATTCTAGTCAATAGCTTTTAGACCTGGATGCTGGCTCCACTTCCTGTCTGTTGGACATGAAGAACTCAAAATTTGTGGAGACCAATGGAGACCCCTGAGGAAAGAGCTCAAATCTCTGAGAATCCTCAGCTTAGAGGAAAGCCACCCTAGAGAGCT